ACATGAGTAAAGGAGTTCTATTTTTAATTACTTTTTGATCACTGTTTTGTTAATTAATTTGGTTCAATTGTATATATCTTCTCTATTTATTGCTTGTTTTCTCTGTTTGTTGACTTGCGTTTTCGATGATGTCATCAATAAAAGCAGAAGTTTATAGTTAATTCTTGTTGATATTGAGAAGACAAGAGGAAACAAAATGAAAAAGAAATAGTACAAGCAAAAGAAGCACGTTTGACTTCAGCAATAAATTTAAAAGGTAAAGTTCTTCATGGGTTTACTTGAAAGGAAAAGAAAGAATCTCTTTAGAAAAGCCTAGAATATGATCAAAAACTTCTAATGAGATTCACTTGTGATATTCATTGGTGATCAATTTGTTCTATCTAAACTTGTTTGGGAAACTCCTCTAAGCATTTAAACAAAAGTTTTTACACAATTACAGGCAAAACTCTTATCATGTACTTACCTCGTACAGTACAAAATCACTTAAAATAAGCTATTAAAAATCACTTATCTAACACAAATTATGTATACCTTTAGTCAGATGACTTGGGAAGGGGGATTCTCGAACAGGATCCATTGGAAAGCTTGGAGGCAGAGATTGTGTCTCTGACCTTTTCAGATATGCCAATACTTCCAGGATGATAGTTGCAACAATTACTATACTAACAAGGAATCCATAGCCTATTCTCCAATCACTACTTTAAACAAATGTTTTTACACAATTACAGGCAAAACTCTTATCATGTACTTACCTCGTACAGTACAAAATCACTTAAAATAAGCTATTAAAAATCACTTATCTAACACAAATTATGTATACCTTTAGTCAGATGACTTGGGAAGGGGGATTCTCGAACAGGATCCATGGGAAAGCTTGGAGGCAGAGATTGTGTCTCTGACCTTTTCAGATATGCCAATACTTCCAGGATGATAGTTGCAACAATTACTATACTAACAAGGAATCCATAGCCTATTCTCCAATCACTACCTGCCCCTGCAGCTTGCATCCCCAACACTATGTTCACTGACGCAAAGAAAAGTGCCAATCTTCCAACCCAACCGTGATACAAATTCCAAAGCTTCCGAATCTTGGAATCCTTGTTTGGCCTTAAGAAGAATGCCAATGCCTATACTCATCAAAGCTTTAAAAGTCATTTCAAAATTGTTCTTAACAAAGTAGCAATAGGTAATAAATGGTCAGTGTCAAACCTGAAGAATACTTAGAGAAAAGACGAAGATTCCAATGCCTCTGTGAGCAGGTACGTGAGCTTGCATTTTGTTGTAAAGTTGTAATCCAAGAAGGACTGTGGCAAGTCCAAATCCGAATCCCACAAATTGAATGACTGAATGGAGATAGAACCATAGTGGATCCTTATGCCTGAAGTATCTAGCAATAATTGCCCCCACGGGCAGGATGAGTCCCCATCCTATTATACCCACTATTCCATGACTCTTCCTCATCTGAATCAGCTCTTTTGATCCAGAACCTTTGGAACCTGTAAGAGATTTAGTTGATCAAGTTTTTTTGTCGCTCCGGATTAAATTATACACCTTGAGATGCTAAAATTTTCACCAAATCACATAGACAAATGCATACCAATTATTATTATTGAAAAAAGGAGGAATTCAAAGTTGGGTGCTCTTCGTTTTCTGGTGTTATACTCATGGTTGTTCTCAATCCTTGTCCGAACTTAATTTTTTTTCCCAAAGGATCTCAAGGATGCATTCTCTCACATCTATCTGATTCTGTCATATTTTTCCTGAGAATCTTAAAGATACTATACTTTTTCCTTGCCCGTAGACTCACTCCCCTGCGCAGGTTTTATCTTTTAAACAGAGAGGTGTTCATTTTGTTCTTAAAGTGGTATTTATTCCGAGGAACTGAACGGTAACTTTTCATCATAAAACTTTGAGCAAGATAGATATTCAGAAACAGTCATCACATAGTTAACAAAGATAGAGTAAAACAGAGCATCTCCTATCAATCTTCCCTAAAAAAGTCAGAGGAAAAAGATTTTGCACCTGAAGAGAAATCAAATATGATTGATGTTTTGTCAGCAGCTTGAGAGAGATGGTGGTTCTTCGGGTATTTATTGCCAAAAGCCAACAAATCGGTTGCTTTTCCAAAATCGGATGTCTTATGCTGTCTGCTGCGCTCTAGCCATCGTAGGGCCAGTGCAGGCTATTATTGAGAGGGATTTCACCTTGTCTGCTATCACTTCTGAAGCCTTCTTACCCTGAAGATAAAACTGCTTGATCTTTGCATGACCATGTTTATTGATCCACCCCACCATTGCACTTGAACCCACCATCATACCATCTCTAGAGAATCCTATTCCCACCCACCCAATTGTAGGGAGCAGATAAGATGATGGTTGTGGTATGGTCATCTTGGATGTACTGTACCAGAAAACTCAGCAAATTAGATGCAAAGGGCATATCTCTGGTATTCTCAAGTTGTTTCAATTTTACGCTTCTAGAGGTAATAAAACGATGCACTACAACAGAAGTTCATTGCAAAGTTTATGCAAATGGACAGCCATGAAATTCATGAACTGACCAAACATGAATTTCTGGCCGTGATTTTAATACTGGTGGATATACAGAATTAGTACAGAACCAGAAAGAAAACGATCGACATTCAATAATAGCTTTGAAAGCAACTTAATTTTGATATACGAGCATTAGAAATATGGCCTATCACTCTCGTCACTTCCCATAAAGTCGCTTTATAGGATCTAACCCTTGCATGGGATCCTACTAAATGCTAGTAAGAGGAAAGGTCAAAATCCCAATGGCTAGCAATCCGATGAATAGGCTACAAAATCTAACATGTCTAAAATACCCAAACAAACGCATGAAGCAGTTATTCAAGATACAGCAACTCTTGATAAAGACAACTCAAATTGTTAATTATAAACCACAGAGAAATTCTTTTTCAAACTTATCTTTTTGTCGTTTTAATCTCTCTTCATATGTACCATATATAAGCATTTTTTTGATTGTAGAAGATCTAAATTACTTTCTTTGAAAGAAATACAAAATGGCAGAATAGCGAACGAAGCATATAATAATTCTGACCTGAACTTACCCTCAGTTCATAAGTATGCCAGACAGGTTTGCATATCATATTGGATATATTCTGATATGGTGGCGGAAGGAAACTTTGATAGTTTGTGTTCTTGCAAGTGCTTTTTGATGCAAAACCACTACTTCGGCCATTATCATCTGCAAATGCTATGCTTTTGAAGTCCAAGACAAGATTCAGAAGACAAAAGCTCACAAAAGATGGCCATATCTGAATCCAAGATCTCAAATTTGCCATTCATGGACTACAGACAAATATGAGACTTAAGGCCAGGAAAAAAGAATATGTGGCTTACAAGACTCTATAGAGTCAAAAAAAATGAGAGGAAGTGTTAATAGGAAGAGATAACAGCCGAGGCAGTTGAAAGGTTTTAGTCTCTTACATTTGAAGGTTGCATTGAAGTTTGGTGGTGGGAATAGTGTTTGGTAGAGAGAGATAATCATTAAGTCATCATGTTCTATTCTTGAAAACTCAACATCTACCACACTAGCATTTTGCACTGTCACAAACTTTTTCCCATCATGATTTCATACATAATCCATTAATGAAGATATTCAAATATGTTAAGATAGATTATGACACTGGAAATGTTTTAGAATATCTTACACGGATCGGGGTATTAGTGTAGAGGTTACCTATGATATGAAGAATGAAAACAACAGATCAAAGGACAGATATTTCATGTTCAAGTAGAGCAGGATCTAAAAGTCATTAGGCCTGATCGGATTGTGAGCACAACGTTGGAATGATTTGCAAGTGATAAACAGTGTTCCGGGAAATTATAATTTTTGCAGTCTAATTCATTAACATAGGTCTTATGAATTTTCTTATATTTTTCTTTTTTTCTCCTAAATGTTTTGAGAAAATACCAATGTCATGGTTTTTTCCCCGAAGCTACTGTTTGTGATGATGACGATAAATACTCATAATTTTTCATTGACGCGCGCGCGTATGTATTGTATAATCATATTATATACCAAACGCCTCCTTTGCTCGTCCCATCAAATCATGATTCATGTCTTTATCACTCCATAATCCATATAAAATGAATGAATGAGTATAAACAAAGAATGTAATATTTTATAACTGATATTGGAGTGAATGGAAGTGAATAACCATACACAATGAAAGCTGAAATTGATCCGTGTATCCCAAAAAAAAAAAAAAACCTGAAACTGATCCCCAAAACCCGGACGGAACAAAATTTCCTGCCTCACTCTTAAATTAAAAGAAAAAGAATTAATTTCATGAATTCAATTCAATGGTAATAATACACAATAGTGTCCTGTTTGGTATCGTGAATCACTTATTATACGTTTATGTAAATCGAGATAAAACTTTTCATATACTTACTTTGTATTTTATAAATTATGATTAAAAAATCACTTATAAATTATTCAAAAAGGCCCAGTAACGTCCTATGAAAAAGCAAGATTCTAAGGAGAACTAGCATTGCTCTTTTCTACTTAGCCCAGGCAACAGCCTCAATTTCTGACTGAGCACTTCTATAAAGCTCCAGCCTCTTTGCCAGTGAGGCCCGTCTCTGCATCACCGTGCCTCGTCAGTTAATTAGACATTCATATCACGTTAATGCAGACTTTTATTTATTAAATTAATTTGACACCTGTTGGAGACATGGCACATGACATTCATGGTTTTATAAAACAAATAGAACATGCAAGCAATCCTGTACTCAATTTTATCTCACTTGGCTATTATTGCGTTCTTCAGCAAGAAAACTTCACAATATGACATAGAAAGCTCACCTCTCTCTTCCCCAACTCCGTAAAGAAATGGTCCAGTAAGCTTCGCTTAGCCTCACGCACTTGACAATAAACCACAGACTTGGGAATAGTATTCTTGAGGGTCGCGCATACCATGTTCACGTATGACAGGACAGTGGTAGCTGGAACGTTCAAGGAATCTCACAGTAAGAACAACTCGGGCAAAGAAAATCGCTTAGTTGAGTAACGCATACGCGTGCTACGTGATTAGCAGATTCTTCCAATTCTAAATTTTTTTTTTTTCAAAAACCAAAAAGTCTCCCTCAGTCTTAGTGCATGTTCGATTGAAAATGATCAAAACTATGTTTTGGTGTACAGCCTTTAAGTCGCTTCCAACAAAACATGATTTTGATGGTTTTGAACATGAAACCAAACATATAGTTAACTTTCATTTACTTACCGATTCGACGAAGATAATTATCATTATATCTGTCAAAAAGTGAGACAGTTGGATTTCCACCCTTCTCAGCATCTTGCGGAAGTTTGCGGAAAAATTCAACAGTCAGGTAACCACACTCCATGTCAACCAACAGCAGAGTTGCTTTCTTACTCTCTTCTCTCATCCTCTCCAATGATTCAACAGCTGCACTTCCAAGTTCTGTTCTCAAGGTGGGATATTGTTTTAATTCCTACGATTAACAGAGAAGTTTATCAGTTAACTTAGACTTGTGAATGATAACGTCTTGCTTTGGTACCTGCTTATTTGCTAAAGCGTCTCAAAGCAAATAAGCATGTATAGAACTAAAGATACAAAAGATAAAATATATTGCTAGCTACTTGCCACTGTCTCGCTAATAGACTTGTGAATTAGATCCTTCAAAATTGCATGAACCTGAAAGATCATAAAAGTAAGACATCAAGTGGATGTTTTACGACAAAAGGAAAAGATAACAGCATAGGATTTTTCGTTAGAGGGAAGTTGAAGGAGAGGATTTGCAGAAAAAAGGGGTTTAGACTAGGGGTCATTAAAATAATGTCTAGATATATGAAAACAATTGCTCACAAAAAAAAAAAAAGGAAGATACTCCCTCTGGTCCTCAATATAAGACAAATTTTGCGGTGCAATTTGCACTACAAAATGGGCCTTACACTAAGGACCGGAAGAGTATATGAAAACAATTATTTGTGAAAATATATAGATGATGTTGACTACGATAGTATCATTAACATCAATGATAAAGCAAGTGAATAACATGGAGGAAGAAGTCCGTTTCTAATATATAGCAAATTATTAGAAGAGACAAATTCTGTAGTACAATTATATACCGCATCGACAGCTGCTTCAGCCGGGCCACGGATGGCTACTAAGCAAGATTCAATCAGACGGCGATACCCTTGCTCAGGAGCAATTAGATGAGGTTGATATCCATCTGCTTCAGTTATTAGCTTTCTCACATTATCAATTGAGAGATGTTTGTCAAATTGCAGCCTTTTCATAGCTGCAGGGAATTGAGAATCAAATACTTGGTAAATTTTCTCACCACCAGGCCTCCTGTAAACATCGAATCATTAAATCCAAGAATGAGATTAAACAATAATATATTCATTCAGTATGTAGATTAACTAACAGGGAAAAAGGACATACACGCCATCAAGATGATCTTTATATATCTGATCAAAGTTTCGACAGATTTCCATTGCCATGTACAATTTTCCCTGCAAAAGGGGAAGAAAAAAAAGTAAATAACAAATTCTTGATATTCTATAGTTCATGAAGAAGAAAACTACCAACTGAAAGAAGATAGAGGCTATATATCAATTATCTTCTACAACCAAGTTAATACATAATTAAAAAAATTGCTTTGGGAAAGCCAATGGCAGAGGGCTTACTCCAGTATCAGTAGCCATAGGCCTTCCAAGACGGCTTAATTCTGCCTCTAGGTCACAAATAGTTTTACTTATAAGTGACTGAAGGCCTGGGATTCGAGACTTGATGACAGTTTCTAAATGCTGAAAATTTGATTGACATAACAGATATAGAAGTTAATTTGAGCATTCAAATAGATTATAAACGCGTTGCCATATAGAAAATCAAGATTAGGATATTTCTTCAGTATACCTTAGATAACACCTTTCCTAAATGGACAGAGCCCATTCTGCTAGCAAGATGTCTGTATTCTGGAGTGTTAGCAAAATACTCATTTTCTCTACGCCGCGCAGCAATCATATCAACGTTTTTGTTGATATCAGCTTGGGAACGATTAACAACACCAATCCAAGGGAAATTTAGCTTATATGCTCTTCCTTCAAGGATCTAAGAGAAACAAACCGTTAAAGGAACAACTTGACTGCGTTGACTTTTTTTAAGTAAAAACAGAGGAAACTCGATGAAATCTCAACTACAAGGAAATGGTTGATTATGTGATCCTAAGCCTTGTAACATTCACGTTAACACATGCAAAGGCATGTGTAAGCCAGAACAATTTTACTGAATGGTAGATAAATATAATTATCTCCAGCTTCCAATCTTGAGTATGCATCCAATATAAGGGGAAAATGCTTTAATTTGTAAATCGGCAAGTAACCATTAAACTGACATTAAATACCCGATAATGGGAAATCCACTCCATCTTCTGTAGTTGAAACATGCTCCTTAGGCATTAATTACGAATTAATTTTTGCCATGGAAACGACATTTTCCAGCAGGCACCAAGAGATGGTTCGGTAAGTCCAACCTTTTTAGTAGCCTACCAATTCGGTCTTGAAAGGGACTACATACTTACATCAACTGCATCAGTACCCTTGTCCATGAGATCGATCTTTGTCAAAACTCCAAATGTCCTTTCCCCTGAAATAAAGCCATGAAGACTAAACATAAGAAGAAAAATATCCAGAAACCAGCCATTTCAATTGCTCGTATAACATGTCTTAAGTCATCTCCTCATGTGAAGGTCAAAGAAAAGTGATACGGCATTAAGAAATAAAGAAAGCTTAGAAGGACCAAAGTCAAAACATTAAACTCAGATACTGATTCGCAAGACTACATAACACAAATTTGTTTCGCATCTCACCTTTAGGGTCTACTTCGCGAGAAATCTTAATTGCATCTGAGGTAGCAAGATCTTGATTGGCAGGAGATATTGCCAGAATGATAGAGTTGGGCTGCAAGAGACAGGTTTTAGTGACATCATATGAGTTCATCTACCGCCAGTTTTATCAAATCATCATAACAATCGCCAAAAGGGGACAGGATGCAGTATCTAACTGACATGCTCAGACAATTTGGCTTGCACCGCAGACATGCATACAACTATATGCATGGAACCATCTGTTATGTAACCATTTATCAGTATGAGGAGTTCATCACAGAGTTTCATCTGGATAACAACTCAAATTGCAACATAGGGCTTCATGATTTTCCAGTTCAAGCTTTTATCCCTACCATTCATTTTGATATAGCGACAGCAATGTAGCAAAATATATTGCGTCACAAGAAAAAAACGTCACCCTATGGGTCGAAGTCTTTTTATGCGTGTATTTCAAAAGCATAAGAACACTTACCTTCTCGATATAAGAACGAACCATGTTTTCAATGTCCTGTACAATGCTTTCTGGTTGACCCTCTGCAATACACAGACAAAATGCCTTTAATTTGTCCATTCATAATAAAACCGTTAAAAATTTCAAATTATCTTTAACTGTTATGCTAGTAGTTAGTCTTAGAAACGCACCAACAGCAACTTTTGTGAGTCCCGGAAGATCAACTAGGGTCAAATTGACAACTGCAAAGGGCAACAAGTTCAATAAATGGAATGGATGCATAAAAAATTAAGTTGATATTTTTATAACAAAATAAAAGCAGTACCACATACACCCGCGATGGACATGACATGGTAACTAATAATGCAAGACACTCAAATAAAAATATGACTTCCTAGTCAACTTTATGTTTATAGAATGATACTTTCCGATATTTATACTAACGAGAAAACATATTGTCCGACGTACCGGGCTCAGCAACTCAGATCAAAATTATGCACCATTATTGACATGAAAAATACATATTTAATATATATGCACTTGGATCCATAGAGATCTAAAAGGCAACAAGATATTGTCACTGTATGTTTTGCTCAGCAAGAGGAAAAAGAATAATAAGAGAATATAGAAAATAACAGGCCGTGATTTTGATAAATAATAGGAAATAACACATCAAAAGGATAGCTCTTCATTTTTTTTATCATATCAAGAGGGTTTAAACCCTGTTCACTGCCCACACTCCAATCCACCTTACCATTTAGATTATATAAGACCATTTATGAACTAACTTGATAATGGAAATACCAGTTAGCATCTTTCTCACCATGAGGGGAGTAGATACTTAAATGGATTGGAACAGAAGAAATAGACTTGCTTCGGCCCGTCTCTCTATCAGTCTCGTCAGAGATCTCCTGCCTGACAGCAGCTAGAGAACATGCAAAATTAGTCTCCATGGAGAAACAGCAATAAAAAAATACAAGGGAATTAACTTGTCAACACATCTAAAAATCGTAAATAAGTAACACTAACAGTTATGAAAAAAATGCTAAATGAAATTTGCCCGCAACAAGGCTAGTTATATGTGTGATATTAAGGATGAAGAAGTAATGTGAGGAAAAGAAAAAATTTTCCATAGCAGAATACCAAAATCTGTGAACTTCTTCCTTGGAAGGTGCATAAATTCAGCATATTCTCTTCCTTCATCGATCTTATGAAGCTGTAAAACAAGAGGACGCCGAGTGACAATACCTACAAATAAAAATTGGTTCGCTTATCCAGATATTCAAGTCAAGAAGAGAAAGAGGAAAAATAATCACAAAGGAGTATGTGACTAACTATAGATAGCCAGAATTACCAGATCCACGTGGTAAGAAGTCTTTTCCCACAATACTCTCCAACACTGAAGACTTTCCGGAGCTCTAGGAAATATTGAAAAATTAAAATTTTGTAAACATTTATGGAGACAACAATGACTCCATGCAACCATTGGAAATATTGAATAATTAAAAAAACGGTTGATCTGTCGAAAAATTCCTAGCTAAGGGCTTCTTTTTGACAGAATTTGAATTTCTTTTAGCCAAGACAGATGGTATTAAACATTAGCAAGAGACACAACACCCTGAGCAGTATAGAGTAAATGTCAATCAGCATGTGATTTAATAATTGGAGCAATAAACTTCCGACTATATAATCAAAAGGACAGTATATCAATGCAAGGTGTTTTTTCCAACACCATTTTCTGCACCAAAAACTGGAATTCACAGGCCATAACAGACAATAAAACCATTTGAAGACACTGTATTATCATATTCTGTAATAAATGCATCTCAAGATCAAAGATATGGATATCGATCACTTATAACCATTGTTTTCAATACGCATGTCACAGGACGCATCCAAGTGTTGGACACGGCCACAAAGGGAACGGCAGAAATGGAAAGACAACATGCTGAGGTTCAATGATTCTTTTCTTTTAAGTGACCCACAAAAATATATAAACTTTTCGCATTTCATTCTTTTAGTCAAACTGCAAAATGACCAATGGTGAAAGTGGACCGCAGCAGCACTCCGCTCGTCAAATAGATTAGCACACAAGGGGAAAAAAAAAAGGATTTTAGAAAACTCGTAGCAGAGTTAAACAAAAACGAAGAGAAGTTCAATTCCTTTTTCTGTTCACATTAGAATGAAAAGTTTATAATCATTAAAATAGAATCTAGTAGAATGATAACGTAAATCAGAGAGGGAAAAAGGTAGGAAAACTTATAGATCAGATAGACAGCGTTTCACATGAGAAAAAAAGATTCTGATATACTGCAGCAATGGATCAAAATTCAATAAAAATATAAAATAAAAAATAATGAATGAAAAAGAGGCAGGAAAATGAAACCTGTCCTCCAACGACGGCGATTGACGGCAGCGCGTCCCAGAGTGTGGGCATCGCGCTCTCTTCGCCATGATCGCCAAGGGCGGTACACGCCCTCTGTATCTTGTTCACAAGCTGAATCAGATTCTCCATTGTCGAGCGAGAGAGAAGGGAAGAGGCTATGGGCGAAGATGAAGAAAGCGGGAATGAAAAAAGAAGCGAGAAGATGTCACTCGCAAACTATGGAAACTTTCCAAATGTTAGTTTGAAATTCCATTTCTTCCGTTATTGTCAATTGACAAGATTGCCCTCACTTCTTTTGCACTAGTGTCATGTTTTTGGCCAACACGTCTTTCCCATAAGATGGGGATTAGTAATTGGGCAAATTTTTCAATAAGGCAAAAAAAATTGATGAAATTCAAGGAGATCCAATATTAGACTTATAATATGTATTTGATCATATAAAATTTATAAAAAAAATTCATCATTCATTTTTTTTCTTTGGCCAAAAAAATTCATCAGCCATTGAATAACTTATTTTTATGTTTTATGTTATTTCCTCCTTTTTTCCGTTTTTCTCCACATAATTCATTAGCCTACATTCAATTTATTTTTTTTTCAAAAAAATAAAAAAAAAGTTTAGTCTTTCATCAAAATTTCAAGTTTTTCTGTATGACTTGTATTATACTAGATTTTAATAATACTGTGACCCGTTTATAGCTTGAGATGTTTGCTTGTATACTTTGTATAAAATCTGAAAAATGAGTTATATTATACAAATCATGGATTATTTAATTTAAACTCTTTGATTAAATTACTTTGCGCTGATGTTACTCTTGGATTAAACATAAGGATGCGTTCCCTTCAACCGAAAGAAAGGGAGATGTGAGATTTTAACATTTCTTTATCTGATTTTAATTGAAAGAAAATGAAGAAAAAGATATTTTAATGATCCTTAATTAGCTTTTGGGTAGGGATGGGATGGATTGTAGTGAAAACTGATGAGAGCTAATAATTCCTTTTTTATTTTTTTAGAAAGAAAATAGTTACAGTATATTACAATTTATCAATTTCTTATTTCCAAAATGTCAAAACTTTGATGTTAAAACTCTCACCTTACCCATTAGGCGTATAATTGAGTGTTTTAATTTAAATTTTCATTAAAAATTACATATCTGTATATTCGAATTAAAATAGTTAATGATGAAATATAAGAAATTGCATATAATTTCCTAATTAAAAAATTATAATAACCTGATTGATTAATTATATTATATCATCACACTCTCAAGCCGCTTGAGCATTGAGGTGTGATTAGAGGTTTTTTTGTTTTAACAATAATGTATTTGCTCTCACTAATGTGATTAAAAAAAAAAAAAAACAGTTACTCCTTGTACGATTTACTGTATATAGGTTGATTGATAAAGGATTGATGGAGCGATCCACGGATGGGTCTACAGAACAAGGAACGTAAAGAGAAAGCGAGGGTAGCATATTCTTTTCCTGAAATGGGCCTTCGTTGGCATATTACGTCAAAACAAGACGAGGTGTGTGCGTCTCTTATTAGTTTTCTCTGCCCTACGTTCTTATCTTCATATAAAAGTAGCCTCATCGAATGTCCATATAGTTTTGAAATAGCGAATACAGAACTTCCTCTTGTTCCTCTGAAATGCTGACTGATCTTAGAAGCCGCAATCCCCTTCCATGGACTCTGTTTCTTCTCTAACACCAAAATTTAGATCATACTGCTTTAACAGGAAGCCTCTCTATACGACAAGCTTATCCTTTTTTCAGCTCCCGCACTTCAGGCGACACAGAACTTCGTTATTGATTTCTTCTTCTTGGACAGCTCCTTCGAACCCTCCGAAAAACTCAAATCATAGAAGTGTTAATCACAGCCACCCCGTGGTAAACCCCATATGGGTTTCCTTCCCCCTTTTGAAAACCATAAAAAAGTTGGCTTCTTTGCAAACCCAGAAATGGATTTCGAGTTTCAGAGTTTATAGCAGTGCCCAGAAGGTTGTAGACGAGTATAATGGGTGTTATTTACAGAACGGAGGGTTAGGAGTTGCTCTATTGAGCATTACTACGAACGCGAAGCTTCGGTTTAGCCCATTTTTTGCTACCTTGGCAGCAAACCCAACATTTGTTTCGGGCTTGTTTGCGTGGATTATAGCGCAATCGTTAAAGGTGTTTCTGAACTTCTTCGTTGAACGGAAATGGGATTTTAGACTATTGTTTGCTTCAGGGGGCATGCCATCGTCGCACTCGGCATTGTGCACCGCGTTGACTACTTCTGTAGCGCTTTGCCATGGTGTGGCTGATTCGTTATTTCCTGTGTGTTTGGGGTTTAGTCTTATTGTTATGTATGATGCAATTGGTGTTCGGCGACATGCTGGCATGCAGGCTGAGGTAAATAATTGGTTTTTACTTCTTTATTTGAAATTGATGTCTCTCTTACATCTTATCATTTCTGAAATATCTTGACCCTTAAATTATGAGTACATTTTTATTGTTAATGATTCCTCATAAGAACTTGTTGAAGTTGTCCTTTTGTTGCATCCTTGGAAGAAAGGATATTGAAGTATGTTTATGTTGTATTTAGGAGCAATTTGAAGTGTCGGACTGATATGGCTCCTGGAAGTAGCGGTGCTTCATAGGTTGTGTGTCACTTAACCATTGCAACACATTCCGATTAGTGCTTGGTGTAATAGGAGATTATTAAGTGCAAGGGATTTGGATTGCATGGTCAATCTACTAGTACTAATTAGTGCTGCTTAAGTCTGTCTTTGTTTGTCTTCCTTTGCGTTTTTTTAACTTGGTCAAAAATTCTCGATCCTTGAATCTCTCTCCTGTTTGTCTAGCACTCTAGCTTAGTGCATATTACTTTTATAATGCCTATTGTTTTTCAAAGTTGTGGCTTATAATATGAGACTTTATAAACAAGGCTATGATCTTCGTCTTGGTATGAGATGTGTTCGTATTGCAATACCAAAGCCTTCACACTGCCACTGCCATGTTGAGCTTAACGAGTTTCGCAACAGCAAAGTCACGAACATCATCTAATTAAGTATGTTGATCACTTTAGAACATGGTTCTATATTAGTCATAGAGGTGGAATCTAGTGAGGATCTTTATGTCCATCTAGTTTAATGCTTAACCAACTGAAGTTCCATTGGATAGGTTGGCGCTATTTGTTATGCCCATCTATCCAATTCTCTTGCGCGCAATAAATCAAGTGCACTTCAAGTAAATTGCTGGGTTATTCTACCTTCAGATTGTTAGGAATGAGCCAACAGAGACGCACCATCATCCCTGGTATTGCACATGCTTTATACCACCAATTTAAAAACTATATCTTTTATGAGATTAAATGTTTTAAAAGATAACTGCAGGAAATCTAAAAGTGCTGCTTCAATAACGGTTAAATGTGGCTATAGTTGGTGCAAGTGTAAACGCTGGGGACCTTATCCATGACCCTATGTTAATAGGCTTTCTTTTATTATCTAGTTTTATGTTCTTAAATAATTAAATGCCATCTTGATCGATTGAGGCATTCGCTTCTTTTGCACTGGGGGTGTCATGCTCTTAGTTCGTGATGATGGGATGTTAGTTTCGCTCTTAGTAAGTCATTTGATCACAAGGCTATGCCACTGGTAGTGATAGCTGCTTTGATGCTGCTCTTAGGATTTGAAACTGATTTTGAGTGTAAGGGACAACAAAATGACATTGTTGATCAATTGTTTGGTGTTTTTTGAATACCTCATATAGTTGATTTATCGTCAGATTAGTTTGTGAATGCCGTGTGTATAGCTTGGCTGCTGAAAGATTTCTCCTGGGACATTGAGGAGTAGATTTCAATGTAATCCACGTGATTTTGGGGTGTCCTGGTTTTTGTTTATTTTCAGGTTTTCTGCACTGTTTTAGGCCCTTAACGATATAGTTCCTCTGTGATTTTTATTGAACACAATATTGCACTGCTTTATACTGGCCTGAAGGAATGGAGAAAGAGGGGAAGGATATCACGTTTGTCTGAGAATGACCAACAGATATATCTGTTAGAAGTTTATATGTGTATCAGAAGCTTAATCGAAATAAGAGGCTTTACGCTTATAGTTTTGAAGTTTTCATTAATAATTTGTGATATTGTGACATTGGTATTTCTGTAATGGTATATTTGCATCTTCGTCTTTTTCTGCTGTCTCTATATTCAGAACATCTAAATTAATGCAGCCCTTGCTATCCGGTTTCAGGGTTTCTCTGTTTTCCCCGCTGTATCTAGATTCAGGGGACTTGAGTGGTGAACAGTGTAGCTTCCTGCATTTTTTTATGATTTATATTGATGATAATGATTGGGCCATACAGAATTTTTAGAAACATGTCTGTATTTAAAAAAAAATTATATTGATCCTTGTTTATTAGAAGCGTTTGGGGGAAAAAAAACGGAAAAGGAAAAAACAAACCACTACTTAAATTCCTGAATTAGCATTGTTCAATATTTGATTAGTAGCGTCCCTAGGCTTAGCAGGATCTTTTTGGTAGGCACCTAAGTGGGTGCTGAGGACTCTCTCTTAAATCTAATAATTGAGATGAAAGAATCACTTTTTCTAAGTGCTTCATTGATTAACCTAAACTACTCAGTAAAAGATTTTAGCATCACATGCCATGTTGAATCCTATCAATTGGTTGGTCTGGAAAAGTCATGTCTTGGTAACTGCATTTGTTACACTTTACTAGCTTTTCTTCCGTCAAAACCCTTTGCAAGTAGCCCTTTCCACTGTTGTCATCAACTAGTTGTAATACCTAATGATCGGTGTTGGTGTGAGAGAATTGTCCCAATTAAGTGTTCTATTGAGCAGTACGTCCTAACATTCAATACAAGACTTGAGTATTCCATAAGATTTATACTGTATTCTCTATTAAGGTCCAAAACTCTTGGACTCAGTTCACAAAAAATGGTAAACCAAAATAATTACTTGTATAATTAGTTGTATATTCACAAGCATACTGATATATTTTCTGGGATAATTACTTCTGACATAGTTATGCGTATTTCCAAAGTTAGCTCGGCTCAGAGATTTAACCGATGATAGTTTCTGAGAAAAGGTTATGCTGAAGCCTGAAGAACATTTTTTGATTTGGCTTGATGCAGGTGCTTAATCTGATTGTTGCAGATTTGTTCCAAGGGCATCCCATTAGTGAAAGAAAGCTCAAGGAACTTTTAGGTCACACACCATCTCAAGTTTTTGGTGGTGCTTTGCTTGGCATTGTTGTAGCCTGCTTCTGTTGCCAATCTTGCATTGTCCCCACTTAGCTAAAATCTCTAAGCCTTTTACTCAAATTGTACTGAAATCTTCCTATTTATACTGTTGTAGCTTTCTGGTATAGTGTCAGAAAATCTTCAACTAAGCTTCCCTCTTCTTTGTTTCTCTCGTCATTTCTTATCTTGCTTTGCTTCTGAATAGTTTCAGGTCTCAAGTTGTTCAAGTTTAATTTGACCGGTGGAGATTGAAAGTAAGAAGCAGAGAGAATAGGAGAAAGCGGAGAGAAATTTGATTTTTTTTATTTTTATCATTTTGTTGATTGAGTTTATTTCAGCGTCTCTCCATAGTTTTTGTATTCTATTCACTGCGGAATGAAATATGAAGCTGAGATTCTTTCATGAATGAGTTGGCGTAAGTGACAGTCCGTACATGATCGAGCTTGATTTAGACCAATGTCCAGAAAACCGGCATTTCGCTCGATTTAAAAAAAAAAAAAGATTAATTAAAAAATTATTAATTAAGTTAAAATGAATTGGTTCAATGGTAATTAGCCTAACTCTTAAGCAATTCTTTTAAAATTCTTCAATAATATGATTAAATATTATGAGCATTCACCATGTAATGAGCATGCTTCATCCCCTATTTCAAATATAAATTATGCTTCGTGAAATCCTGTCTTTGAATATACAAGGCATTTTACGGAATTTTAAAAGTAATTAACAACTTTTTAATCTAAAATGCTCTTAGGAGCATATCAAAGTTTTTTACCTCTTACCTAACAAATAATCGATGGTCCGCGATATTTTAAGCCAAAAATAATTAGAAATATTAAAAAAAAGTATAGTTAAAGAAAATTTTTGAAATTTTAACTGCTTGACTATTTGTCATATTCTTAGTTAGGGTATTTTATTTAAAAATATAGTACCTCTGGTCTTTAATATAAGAGTTTGACTTTTATTTTAGTTCTAAATGTAAGACCTCAATCTACTTTGTTTCTTATATTTATTCATTTTTTCTCAAAACAGTTCTTGTAATAATAGTAGTTCTAGCTAATATACTTAATTAGCAAGGATATTTTAAGAAAGACAATAGTTAAGTATTATAAATAACTAATTTAACTAATTTTCTTAATCTACTTAAATTATTTAATTAACTCTTATATTAAGAACCAAAAGTATATTTAAAACGGACGGGTTTTTTTTGGGTGATCTTGTGTTCTTTTCTTTAGGGGATAGAGAGAGGATGAAACTAAAACAATAATGAGCACAAAGATATTTGTAAATGCATCACTTAGATCAAGCTTGACATCATATGATATTGCCTTTTATTTTGCATGGAAGTCTTACATCAATATAATAGATTGCACTGGTAAAAGAACTAGGCACAACTTATAATAACAAAATCGTTATGATTTATAATCTAAGATGAGGGAGGTCCTCTTGGATTAGGACCAGAAGGAGGCATTTTATCAAGGCCATAAGATGAAGGAGGTCCTCTTGGATTAGGACCGGAAGGAGGCATTTTATGAAGGCCATGGTTCAAAGCATTTGCAGAAGGCAGAATTGGAGGCCGTTGTTGATTTGGACCAGAAGGAGGTCCTCTTGGATTAGGACCAGAAGGAGGCATTTTATCAAGGCCATAGTTCAAAGCATTTGCAGAAGGCAAAATCGGAGGTCGTTGTTGATTTGGAACAGAAGGAACTTTTCTTTTGATGTCATGGTGAAAAAAGCTATAGCTATTCAAATTTGAAGATTGCTTCATAGAAGGCAAAATCGGAGGTCGTTGCTGATTTGGACCAGAAGGAACTTTTCTTTTGATGTCATGGTGAAAAAAGCTATAGCTATTCAAATTTGAAGATAGCTTCATAGAAGGCAAAATAGGAGGTTGTTGTTGATTTGGACCGGAAGGAACTTTTCTCTTGATGTCATGGTTAAAAAAGCTATAGCTATTCAAAGTTGAAGATGGCTTCGCAGGAGGTTCAATTGGATTTGGTCCAGAAGAAACATCATATTGCAAAGAAATTATAAACAGATGAAGCATGGAGAAGATGAAAAGGAAATACTTTTGTGATGCTGCCATGGTTTATGTTTCTACTGAAGTAATTATTGCATATAGATCCCATTATATACTGCTCTATTAGTTATCAAGATATGGATATTCTGGTCTGAGTTAGAAACAAAATGTAAATAGCCTAATAAATTTATTGTTTGTGACTCTATTATATGATATTTTTACTATTTCACAATTTATTTTGACTCTGGATTCTCTGCAATAATTAAGTTACCACATATAATACTGTAAAGAAGAAAAATTAACAAAGACCGCATTCTTTAGACTCTATATTGTGATTATTTCTTATTTACTATAGTATTATATAATATGTTTCTGTGTTCATATATTTTTATATGAAACATACATAATAATATTACTGTTGCCAGAAAGTGAGATTCTTGAGAAGAGTTGATATCAGGGTATTCGGAGATGACAATTAATTAATTTAAAAAGTTGATTAACCAATGCACTAAATTTTTGTGTGATGTACAAGTTCAAAGAATGAACTAGGTTTACGTGTAAGATTTAATGAATAAACAAAAAGAAATGTAGAGTCACTTTATGCTTAAATTAAAAAAATTATACGATTATGTATTATAGTGTGTGTAGGGGTGTCGGTGTATGATATTTATTGATTCATTCAAAAGTAAACAAGATGAATTCATCTTTTTATATTCAATGAATAAATAATTTATTACATATCTCCATATTAATTAAAAAAATGACGATCCATAAAAGAAGAAATCCAATTCTGAATAAATAGATGTCTTTATGAATTTTGGTTGTGGAATATCTTAAAATATTAAACATATTCTTTATAAAATGTTATTACCCAAAAAATAAAAGGTTATAAGTAAGACTGCTAAAAAAATTTCTTGATATTACTAATTTTCTATAATCAAGCTGACAATTTTCTAATCCTACTAGCGGGGAAAAGAGGATTGTCTAATTGATTTCATTTCTTTTCCAATTTATTGAATTTATTTAAATTTCCCTTCATAGTTATTATGTACTGCATCCGAGCTTAATTACAAAAGATAAAATTCTATTTAAATTTAACTTATTTTTTATAAATAGGTTCGGATATAGTACTATCAATTGCAGAATTAAATATCACGTTTTCAAAGTAGTGAGACTTATACAGGATATGCTTATGAATATTTAATTACTCATTTGATTTATTTATCAATTTCTTGAGTTTATTTAAAAATCCTTCATAGTATAAGATCTCGTTTATGGTATACAAATGAGGTCTTATAAATAGAACCGAAAGTAGTATGAAACTGAGATTGTTTGTTTAATTAGCCTGGTCATTTTTCTCAGTGGGGTCCAAATTTTTTATTTTTATTTTAAATAAACTAAAATACATATCACCCTTATAATTATTAACTTATTATTATTTCAAAACGTATTACGTTAGCAAAAACACATTTTCTAAGTGGATGATATAAAGTTGATTTATATCTGAAATGGTTCATTATATTAGAAATAGCATTTTTTTTTTCCCGATGGAAATTGCATCGTTAATCTCTCACTTTGACTTCTCACTTGTCAATATATATATTTATATATATAACACTTTGTATCATATTTGTGGAATCCAACTTCCAATTGTTTGTTTTCGCCATTATTTCTCCCGCTCCTATGGAAATAATTTGAAACGACTTTATGCATTTAATAATAAACTAAATATTATGACCATCTTCCACGTAAACAAAAGAAAGGTTTTTCCATCCCTCTATTTTTGCAAGTGCAAGGTGAAATTATTCCCCAATAAAACAAATAGAGAAACTATATGTTTCAGAGAACAGGGTCTATTTAACATTTGTTGGAATATAACTTTTTTCGGCAAATGCAAGCATCTCATTTATTTAGATCAGGTATACACATTGGCATATGATATTGCCTTCTATTTCGCATACAAGTTTTCATAACTACATAAACACAGTAGATTGACATGTATATAATCATTGGAAACTGAAGGTTACTTTATAAGAGGAAAAATAGGAGGATCAATTGGCTCAAAACCAGAAGGAACTTTCCTGTTAATCTTATAGTTCAAAGAGTTGTAGCCATTAGAAACAAGAGCTTGCTTCAGAGGAGGAGTAACTGGAGGTTCAATGACCCCTGGACCAGATGGGACTTTTCTGTTAATCTCATAACTCAAAGAGCTATAGCCATTAGAAACTGAAGCTTGCTTTAAAGGAGGAGTAACCGGAGGTTCTATGACTCCTGGACCAGATGGAACTTTTCTGTTGATCTCATAGTTCAAAAACTTGTAGCCATTAGAAACTGAAGCTTGCTTCAAAAGAGGAGTAGGTGGAGGTTCAATTGGATCTGAACCAGAAGGGACTTTCCTGTTAATCTCATAGTTCAAAGAGTTGTAGCCATTAGAAACAAGAGCTTGCTTTAGAGGAGGAGTAACCGGAGGTTCAATGACCCCAGGACCAGATGGGACTTTTCTATTAACCTCATAGTTCAAAGAGTTGTAGCCGTTAGAAACGAAAGCTTGCTTCAAAGGAGGAGTAACCGGAGGTTCGATGACTCCTGGACCAGATGGAACTTTTCTGTTGATCTCATAGTTCAAAGAGTTATAATCATTAGAAACTGAAGCTTGCTTCAAAAGAGGAGTTGGTGGAGGTTCAATAGGATCTGAACCTGATGGGACTTTTCTATTAGTCTCATAGTTTAAAGAATTGTAAACCTTGAGACTTTTCACAGAAAACGGAGACTTGTTACTGGCTGGATTGGGACCGGAAGAGGCATCATGGTGTATAGAAACAAAGCTATAAGAATTTAAAAAAAGATGTAGCAAAGACAAAACGAAAAGCAAATACTTTGGTGATGCTGCCATGGTTTACGTTTCCTCTACTTCCAGCACTTGCACATAGTACCGCAATATATACAAGTATAGGTTTTGAACATCGTACACAAATCATAAGTTTAGAAAGAAAATCTAGGATTTTATTAAATTTATTGTTTGCAAATGTATTGTAATATACTTTAGCATTTCTTTCATGAATTTGGTTTCTTTACCGTAATAAACTACCGTATATAATACTATAAAGTTAACAAAATAATAAATAAATGGAATTGATATTTTTTACCAGA